GTTGGTTAATGAGATCAGTCTAAGCTGATTGCATTCAGTCAGAGGAGATACTTTAGGGATGGGCGAGACGTTTGCTAATTTCCACAGAGATGGGACGGTTTGATGCCTAAGTGAGCTGTTGAAAATTTTGGTGATCACGGGGGCAAGATGGTGACAGAAATCGCGCCAAAACCAATAGGGAAACTCATCAGGCCCCGAGGCGGATCGTTTCAGGTGCGATAATAAGTTTCGTACATCAAATTCGTTCACAGTCGGCAAACGGGTTCCTGCTGGTATTTGCAGACGCGTTGGAGCCTCATATTCATCGTCAGTGTTGATGGTCTGGAAATATGTGTTGATGATATCAGGTGAAATCACCGAGCTGACAAGGGTCCATTGTGTCTTTCTGCCAGTTATTCTATTGGCTGTGTCCCACCATCCTTTAGAGCCTCGGTTATGTTTTAATCGCTCGTTGTTCACAGCGTTTACTTGGTTCATGCGAATGAGTGCGTTGATTTTCTCTTGACGAATAATTTTCTCTACTTGGTTACCCCGATGTGCAGTGGCATTAGATGGACAAAGGCATTCTGATATGGTTCATGGTTGCTTCAGACTCTTTAGATTATCAAAAGTTATTACCCATGCTAGTTTTAAGGATTAAATTAATGAATACTAAATGCGCGCATGTTGGTGTAGCCTAACGCTAAATGGGTGAAGTAATGTCTCATTTCTCATGTTTGAGCACTTTCAACCCAGGAGCATCGATTTTTACAGCATTCGAGCACAATGGTACTTTTGGAGCATAATTTCGAGTAGAATAGTGTTTTGGGGGCCAATTCTTTTGGGTAGAACAGCCTTTTTTTTAACAGAATGTGTAAAGGCCTATTGCTTGCCCTTGCTCGTGCAAGTTTGTGACAAATAATTACCACAGCTTTTACACCTAAGTGAGTGAGAGACTCATTTACATATCCGAATCACCATAGATATTACAGGGTGACTTAATATCTGGACCGGAAAGGTAATTCGCTCATTCAACTTTAAGAGAACTCTTTATAGCCCCTGTGAGACAGCTCGGTTCCAGTTTTTCGCATATTCTTTTGTATGCGATGTAAGAATTTGAACTTCCTCACTATTCTAGCTCTGTTTCTATCCTAGCTCTCTGTATGTTTTTGTAGTTTAAGATTAGCTTGAATAACTGTTGGAAAACTGCTTTTGTTCGGGGTAATCCAACTATTTTCAGACTCTTGGTTTAACAAGAAACGTGTTTAAGGAAGAAACTTTCTCTTTTTAGGCTTGCAGCGTCCTTCCAAACTGTGTGGATAACGAAGTTATAGATTGTGGGTAGGGTATCTTATTTTCTTTAGTATTATTTTATTGAACTTAGAAATGACATTTTTTTTAAAGGAGGAGATAGATTAAAGGCAGTGACTAGCTGGTTAGTGACGTTAGTGCCATGCTCTCCGGAGCGAAAGGTCTGGGTTTGAGCCCTGGCCGACTCACTGCTTTGTATTCCACGGCAAAACACTTACGGTAACTCTTATGATGTGCCCTTATTGACTGAGTCGAAGGGCCAGACGGGGAAAATGTTTGGATGAGGTCATAAGCCCGACCAAACTCAGTCAAAAGGCATTTACAATGGGATAGACAAGCAACAACCACAAAAATGATTCTACAGTGACAACGTTCCCATTGTTTTTCATGTCACAACAATAAACTCATAATTCATCGAAAAGCGGTTCGTGTACTTCGTGAGGACTTTTTCGCTATGATCTGTCGAGATTGGAAAGGTCATCAGGGATTTTTCTAACATTTCCAGGTTAAAACGTGTTTTGTGTACCGCTCTTTCACCTGCAAGGCACACACCGTCAGCAATAGGCGAAATATGAAGTTATCACTGGAGCGTTTGTTTTGTAAGAGCTTGTGTAGCTGACTATAGTAAAATTTGCGTAGAGCATTTGTATCAAGCACATTTGATCGATAATCTTGTCTTCGCCGTGTGTGTGCTCTTATGGCTGAGGTGGAAAGGATCATCGTTATTTATTTGCTTTCTGTGTCGACTGCGATGCCAATATTCCTCATATTGCTTCTCGGCTAGAAGTTCTCCATGATTAAGATCTTGTGCTTAAGCGGTATTTTACGGAAGCCGAAAAGGGACAATCCAAAAATATTTTTCAAATCCCGAAAAATATTTCACATCGCAATATTTATTTTAAACTCACTGTCGAAAAGTTTGACAAATCCAAAGATATTTTACAAATCCAAAAATATATTTAGAAATCCAAAAATATATTTAGAAATCCAAAAACTTTTTTTCAAAATCCGAAAATATTTTGCGAATCCAAAAAAATATTTTGAAATCCAAAAAAATGTTTTCGAAATCCGAAAATATTTTGCGAATCCAAAAATATATTTTGAAATCCAAAAAAATGTTTTCGAAATCCGAAAATATTTTGCCAATCCAAAAAAATATTTTGAAATCCAAAAAAATGTTTTCAAAATCCGAAAATATTTTGCAAATCCAAAAAAATACTTTGTCACGTGCTATTTGCGCCAGCAGTCACCCAGCGTTACACCGGCGTTTTCTTGCCATATCCCGCATCATCCCGCATACAAAATGGCGAAGGAACGAGGATAGAACATGTTCTGTCATAAATGTGGAAGAGAATNCTCATGAGAATTTGCTTTAGGTTTGGCACTGATGGTTGGTATTGTGTAACACAAAAGGCAAGATTCGTTGGTTCGTCTTTTGTTTCTGTTGAAGAGCTAATTTCCTGTTTTTTAATTCACTTCTGAGAGGGTTGTGCTAATGAGGTCCTCTCGGTAGCCTCTCTTTAGCAAATGCGCTTCATTTGTAATTTTCTCCTCAAATATTGTTTGAGAGGAGTTTGTTCTTAGAAGTCTAAGGGTCTCCCCTTTCATGAAGTCTCCTTTAATTCCTTGTGGGTGACAGGAACTATAGTGTGTATACTGAAATGTCTCAGTTTGTTCAAAATGAGTACGCACATCAGGGATTGCGTCTTTTTTGAATCGTTCGCCTTTGTAGATGTACAGCTATTTTTTTCACTGTCTCGATCATTAAGTTGTCTTGATTGTTTTCAGCTTGCGCCACGCGCGCTGATTCGATCGTACTACAGTTCTTAGTGTTCCCATTTAACACAAATTTTTTTTTGGATTTCAATATATTTTTTTGGATTTGCAAAATATTTTCGGATTTTGAAAAAATTTTTTTTGATTTCGAAATATTTTTTTGGATTCGCAAAATATTTTCGGATTTTGAAAAAAATTTTTTGGACGTCTAAATATTTTTTTGGATTTGCAAATTATCTTTGGATTTGTCAAACTTTTCGACAGTAAGTTTAAAATAAATATTGCGATTTGAAATATTTTTCGGGATTTGAAAAATATTTTTGGGCTGTCCCTTTTCGGCTTCCGTAGTATTTTCCGAAAACAATTACGTGTTTCGCTATTGCTACAGCTAGAATCTTGCGACATAACCTGCTCAAAAAGTTCAGACGAATCTAAAAGTGTTAGTAAAGTTTCCGCGCAACTCTCATGTGCTTGGATTTTTGCTACCAATCAATTTTGCGTCACACGACCTAGGACCTCATCTGCCCACGTGTCATTTCTTTACGATGAACCTGCATTGTATCACGTACTCCACACACAGGGGGCAAAGTCCAGATGGGAAACAGCATCTCCGTTGTAATGCCTACGTGAAAGCCTTTGAAATATGATTCTTTTCTCCTCGTTCAATGTATTTTCACATATTCTAAAAACAGAAAACTCAAAATATCTTTGGTTAAGGTCTCCTGGAGAGTCATTCCAAGTAAGTCTAATACCACAGATCGTTACGAGTAATCACTGTATTCACGAGTCGCGCAGCCCGAGCGGATCGTCCAGTGTATTCACGAGTCGTAAAGTTTTCCAGTCTATCCGTGAATGTGAACTGGAGTCTCTCCGGCCGTGACTTCGTGTATCGTCTCGTACGAATTGAGCAGATCACACGCAAAATGCACAAAGAACAAGAGTATTCCTTCTGGCTAAGATACCGCGAAGTACTCAAACAACAAGAGTATTTTCCTACTAAAAAAGCGCCACGCACAAAAGAATCAATAGTATTCCTCGTTCTAAAATCACCGCACGAACAGCCAAAACAAAAAGACCCTCGCACTACTAAATAAGCGCCACGCAAAGCGCACAAGCAATAAGAGTATTCCTCACTCTAAAAGCACCGCACCAAGAGCACAAACAAGAAGATCCTCCTATTACTTAAAATTAAACAGCACCAACAACAAGAGTATTACTCCTCGTTCTGAAAGCGCCTCACGAAGTGCACAAACAAGAAGATCTTCGTCATACCAAAAAGCGCCACGCAAAGTGTACAAACAACAAGAGCACTCGTCGTTCTAAAAGGACCGCGCGAAGTGCACAGACAATAATTTTTATTCTAAAAGCATCCCTCGAAGTGTATTCGTCGTTCTGAAAGCTCCGCTTGAAATGCTGCACAAACAACGAAAGTATTCCTCGTTCTAAAAGCATCGCGTCAAGTGCACAAACAACAAGTTTACTCCTCTTTGTACTTAAAAAAAAAAAGCATTGCGCGCAGTGCACAAATGTCCACTGTATTTCTGTTCAAGCAAAAATCGCTGAGTGAAATGGACCAAAAAGTTACATCAGGAATGGTGTTTTTGAAGCCGTTCTGGTTCAAGGGTCGGCTTAATTTCTTCTCACCTTTTGCGGTATTCATAAAAAAATTTATAGACAAAGAAAATTTGTCACCTACAATTTTTTTTCTAAATTGCAACCTCTACGCACATTGATGGATTGAATAGACCGGTTCACGCTCTTGAGTGCATGCTGGGTAATTAGGGCAAGCAAATCCAAAATGGCGGATACGAACAACACTCTTTTGCTCGATCTGAATACTTATAGTTCAATATAGAAGTCACAGCTACATTTTGAGCTCTTTATGTTATTGCCATCTCGCTCAAAAGTCGTTGACAGTTCAATATCCCAACAACACGATCATGGCCACGCACCTCGAAGATTTTTTGGAACTTTCATGTGGGGAATTGCAGTTTTATCTTAAACAGCGAGGTTTGCCCTCTGGAGGGACACACTCGGATCTTGCTGCTCGTGCTTTGGTAGCTTTTGAACATAAAACGCCTATTCGAGATTCGGCCGAAAGCCAAGCCAAGTCACTACAAAATGAACATGTAGAACTACTACGCACATGCGGTATAAAGGATCCGTTATCCATGGTCGATTGGGAGGACTGTGTAACAAAGTGGCCGCATACAAACATTGGTCAAATATTCTCGTTTATACTTGGAAAAAAAGCTTTCGACACTGACTATATTGGTCAATATAAAATCAGAAAAGCGTATTCATACTTTAAAAGTGGTTTTGTGCACACTGTATACTCAAAAACAATTCATGGACAAGACAAAGTTCTGTTGTTTGCATCTGTCACTCCATCTCAAAGAATTCGCGAAGAACCTCATAAAGTGTGGATAATTTGTAAATCTCCCGGTGAAATTCTTGGGGCATATTGTAGCTGTACAGCTGGATACAGTCAGTGCTGTAATCATGTCATAGCCCTTTTATATAAAGTTGAGTTTGCCAACCAGAAAGGTTTCACAGATCCTTCCTGCACAGATAAGGCATGTGTGTGGAATAATACTAGCAAGAAAGACATCCAACCCATGAAATTAAAGGACATGGTGTTCCAAAGCCACAAGGTAGTCAAAGAAAACCCAAGTTATGCTATTAATAGCAAGGAAAAACAGAACTTTGATCCTCGGCCAGAATCCTTGAGGGTTGTTACCGAAGAAAGCAAGCAAAAGTTTCTAGCTTCTCTTCGAAACATAAATCCTGATGCTGTCATCCATATTTCATATGCACCACCAACTTCTGATGATGTTCCCCCATCACTACAAATTATAGCTGATGATATATCCTCTAAAAACAATGGTGTAGATGCTGATGAATTAGTGAGACAATTTCTGGAACAATTATCTTTCAATGACAGTAGCATTAAAGAATTAGAAAAGGCCACAAGGGATCAGGCTAACTCCAGTATATGGAAAGAGCAAAGAAAAGGTAGAATAACTGCATCTCATTTTCATGAAGTATACACAAAGACAAAAACAATTCTTAGAAAAAGAAAGCCAAATTGCAAAGTAACACCTCTTCTTGAGCGAATTTTAGATTGTACCGATCTGTCAATGATACCTGCCATTAAATGGGGAAGAGAACATGAGAGAGATGCTGCTGCATCATTCTTTGCACAAGAATCCAAAAAACACAAAAATGCAAAGCTTCAGACTTGTGGCTTGTTTATATCTAAAACTTACCCTTTTGTGGGAGCTACCCCAGATGGTATTTTTCACTGCGATTGCTGTGGTCATTCTTGTATTGAGTATAAATGTCCATACTCACTTGCAGACATGAAATTTGATGAGCATTGGAACAATACAACTTATCTAGAATTAGTGAATGGGAATATCATGCTCAAGAGAACCCACAGTTATTATTACCAGATACAAGGACAAATGGCCCTAACAGGATGTCCTAAAACCTTTTTTGTTGTTTGGACTCCACTTAGTGGTGCTCATATTGAAATTATTGAGTTTGATTTAAAACTGTGGCAAGATATCATACCAAATCTAACAATTTTTTTCAAGACTTATGTTGCTAGGGTGTTGCTAGGTACTAGGCCTATTTATTATTGTGCTGTCTGTGAAAAACCCTGTCTTGAGCCAGATGAAATTGAATGTGATGATGAAAACAGTGTTCAGTGTGAATGTTGTATGCTATGGTTTCACTGGGCCTGCTCAAATTTTGAACAAGAATCAACATTCATTTGCAGATTTTGCAATGAACAAGCAATAGATAATGATTAAAATTATAGAGTGGAAGCAATATGACCTCAACAAACTACTAAATAGTACAAAATAGTGCGGATGAAACCAAAACATTATAGTATTTAGTATTACTAAAGTTTCAAAGTTATTGTTTGAACATTGTTGTAGCTATATACAAACATGTTTGTGTAATTCCATAAAGGAATTGTATTCTAGAAGATGTGTAAATAAACTTGACTACCATAGCTTATAACCTGTGAGAAAATTGAATGGGAACATTTTGGACTGGTACAAAATGCAAACATAATTGATGAAATGAAATCTATGTACTCAAAGGCTTTTTCATATTACATATTGCTGCACAAATGATGATTATGTCATCCAAATGGGAAAGAATGCTAATGGGAATTTCTTGCTTTAACATAGCAAAGTCTTTAATTCGCTTGATAGCCTGCTCGACATAAATCCGTACATTAGCAATAAGTGATGTGTTCCTAACATCAGCACCTGACATCTGGAGATTGGAATGCTTGGAGGGTGGAATTGTTAGAGAACATTGGTAGTATGCTAACAGGTCATGAATCTTGAATCCCCTGTCTGCCATAACTTGGTCATGTGGCTGAAGATAGTTTAAGAAACCACTGTTTTCTACAATAAAAACATCAGATGACCTCCCACTGAAGGTCTCAGAGACAAATGATATGTGGCCATTTGGTGTTATCCCTATCAAAAACTTTAACGTGTAGTGTTGTTTGTAATTTGACCAACACATTGCCGCATTCTCTAAGCTTGATGGGGTTTCAGAGAATAGTTCTGTGCAGTCAATGATGACTCTACACTTTCTGTAATATCGTCGAAACATATCAGGCATATTTCTTTGAATTAAATACCTATCTGGCCAGGAAATCATCCACTTTAATTCTTTAGACATCAGCTTAACCCAAGTGGTAAAGACAGAGCTGACAGTCGCCTCGGAAACTTTGAACCTTAAAGCCAGATCAAATACAAAGAGTCCTAGCTTGATTCGCATCATGGTTAGCAAAAACTCTTGCTCCAAGGTTAGAGCTCTCTGTACATTATTTGACCTGGGCTTGGTGGTGTCCTTCAAAGCACTTTCTTTGTCTCCTTTCCAGTAGTGCATACACATGGCTTTTTCAAAGAGTGTATTAAACATCAATTGAAATGTTTCTACGTTAGGGAATCCAGTGAAACGCTGGACATCTTGCTCTGTTGTTAAATCAGCAAACTTCATACTTCCGTATGTTAGCGGATTTATTATCAAGCATTGAGTTCCTTCTTCTTTGAAGCTTGAGTTATTGGATGCCTCAGCAGTAGAGACAACTTCGTGTCTTGCCACAAGCTTTCTTTTCTTGGGTGAAGGTTTGTTAGAGTCACTTGGCACCATATACAAAGTTGGAGTTGGTGAGGAGTACGTTGGCTTTCCATATTGAAAGTGATTCGAACAAACAGTCTTGTAGTTGCCGGGTTCGAATCCAACAAGTCCTTTGGATATGCTGGCAATCCATTGGGCTCTTTTCTTTGGATCCTTCGGAATAAAATGCCAGCGAAGATTTTCGACATGTGACCGTTTCACTATCTTTTTTGGATATCTTGAGTCGTTGTTACAACCTCCAACACAACATCGGTAGTTAACCATTATATATCTTATTTTTTGACGCATTAAAATCGAAAATACAGAGCTCAAAATGTAGCTGTGACTTTTATCTTGAACTGTCAATACTAAAAATTGCGACCAGTTCTGAAACAAAGCCGATATTCATTAAGTATTCAGATCAAGCAAAAGAGTGTAGCCGAGCGTGTCCGCCATTTTGGATTTGCTTGCCCTAATTACCCAGCATGCACTCAAGAGCGTGAACCGGTCTATGGATGAGATGTCTATTAAAAACGCAACTTTGTGAAAGGAAAAGAATAGACATATCTATTCTTATCGAATAACAACCAAAAGAAACGTAAACTCTGTTTAAATTGCATGCAATATTAAAGAGCGGACAAAATCCACGCACGTGTCGGAACACCGAGTACATGCAATTGACCGTTAAAATGATGATTAGGGAAGAAAAACAGGATTCTAATTTTTTTTCCAAGAATGCCTTTAATGAGATCCGACTAATTTTCGAGGGCACACCTTTAGCGTTTCCCGCAGGCGCCTCACTATGACTTTTGACACCGGTTGCCTAGCAGGAATATATTGTGCTGATGAAAAAGATTAATTGAATTGAATGTCCTTTGAAAACGCCACTTTGTGGAAGGAAAAATAAATATTTTTATTTTATCAAATAACAGTAACGCGAACTCTTTCAATCGAACGCAAAATTTGACGCGCGCGACGAAACATTGAATTCGCGTAACGTGTGTGTAGAAACGAGAACTATCCATTGAAAGTTGTTTTAAGATCACAGACGAAGCGTTTTTTTTATAGACAGTCAGGGATGGAAGAAGGTTAGTCCGGAGTCGACAAGAAAACACTGCAAAGTCAACATTCCACATAACCTATTCGTTTCGCGCGATTGAAGTACTTTCATCATTAACAGACCCAACAAGTGGCACTACTTCGCGGAAAGTGCTTTCAACGATGTTCACATTTAAAAACAAATATCAAGTCATAGAAAACCTATGGACAAAATTGATTTCTAGCACGCGTAAAAGTTAAAGTGCCATTCTTTTTAGTTCTTTGGTGGTCGTTGAGTAGCAAGAGTTTGCCATAATTAATATCGTAATAAAACTAACTCGTCCTTTTTTGTTCCAAGTTATTTTTAATGAAAATCCATCTGTCGTGATCTTTTTCTCGGCGTTTTTGGTATTATTCCAAGCCTGGGATGACTGATGAAGCTCCTTGAAGCGAAGCTAATAGTGATAAAATGAAACATTACTGTTAAGGAACAGTAAGCTTTCTGCCTCACTACGAAACTGCTAGACAGCAACCTACCACTTTCTTTCATCATCTTCTTCGATTCCCAAACAGTACCGCCTCGCGACTCTAACGAAGTCATTTACCATTAAAAGGCTTTCTCCAATGAAAAGGAAAATAAACAAAATCCTTGATAGAACAACGTTGTCTGTGGAAACGCTCGTCATTACAAACGCAACGAACATGGTTGCATGGTTGCCACAGAAAATAATGGAGCATTTTGTTTCCATGGTTTCTGTAATAAATATTCATGATCGACAAATGGTGACTAGAACGAATCGACACATGACCACCAGGGGTCAGTTCAAAGTGGTGCAAAAATCTCAGTCTCCCTTATGACGTTTATGGATAAACGGCACAGCCACGGCTCGTTTTGTTGCCATGGTTTCCGTGATTACTATTCATCGCTCGATGAATCGTACGACTCGTAGGAATCGACACACTACAATCAATGGTCAGTTCAAAGAGGTAAAAAAATTTATGTCTCCCCAATGAGATTCAGGAATAGACAGCACAGCGTTACGACTCTTTCCGTCTCCGTGGTTTCTGTTAGTAATATTCTGGTCGACGAATTGTACAACTTGTGAATTTATTAGACGACTCGTAGCGATCCCTAGTACTGGACAACCCTCACTCATTCGCATCCCTAGTTTGGTCTCGTCACGTCATGGGGAAGGGGGAGATAGTGAGTTGCGCGACGAGACCAAACAACGGCTGCGAAGGTGACTACAGTAAGTGCGGGACCAATGCAGTTTATTTTATTATTCAGACAACAGTGACAACAGACCACAAAATACCTGTGTCTTAGTTTATTTCATATTAACTGGAAGCGTCTTTTTACTCTCTATCGAATGGTAAATTTTTTAAAACTTTGAATGTTAATGCACTTTTTCCTTTACAAAACTGTAAAACTCAGTTACTCAAAGTTTCTTATCCCAACCTGCCTGTCCAAAAAATAACTCTTGCATGTGTAGCGTGCCTATGTTTAAATGTTGTTGTGTCCTAAAAAACTTTGCAATTGAATATTTTAAGTTTGAACAATGTCATAATTGTCATCACAAACCTAGCGTCAAAAACTAGTAAATAACGATTTAAGTTTGTACATACATGTGCAGACTTGAATCAAAAACTAAAACCCTTATAAGCTTTCGTTTTCCATCAAGGGATCAGTTCTTGCCGTGACCCTACAAAAGACGATAAACATCTCGAAATAATTTCACTGTGGAACCACCGACGCATAATTCAAATCAAAGCTATCGTAATAGATGTGATCTGCACACCATGGAAGCCTAAGTAGTTTTTTCTACTTTGAAAAAAGAGCATTTTACTGTCTGAATCAGCGACTTCGGCCGAGAAGAGCGGCTAAATAGGCCTTTCCCAAGATATTTGAAACGCAAAGGTGACTGGGAGAGCGTAGCTCGCAAGTGAGGCTATGGTAAGTACATTTCCAAGATGGCGGAAGTCGAATGGCTGAAGTTACATGCCCGCAAAGACCATCTACAAAAAAGGCTTAAAGCTCGCGGTTTGAAAACAACAGGACGAAAAGAAGAACTTATCCAACGTGTGGTGGAAGCGAATAAAGATGGGACTGAGACGATCAAAGAAAGGGAAACGAGAGAGAAACAAGAGCGAGAAACGAGAGCTGCTGAAAAACTTCGCAGTCCATCTGAGGATCTTCCAGATCCTACAGCTTTGAACAACTGGACGAGTGATCTTTCGAAACTGCCACCGATTAGTTATAAAGAAATTATAGACTATTTGGTCTATGGAACATGTAAATTCTTCCAAAGGGAAGACATGAAGTGTTTCAAACAACTGAAAGCATTCAAATTTTTTAAGGACGGGCACGTACAAAAGATCGAGTTAAGTCTTATCAGTGAGACGAGCAGTTACTGCTTCGTGAAGGCGACAGTGTTACCATCCATGCGTCAAGACCGCTTTTACAGAACTTGGGTTTCGGTTGTGAAAGAAACAGCTAAAGTGTTTTCAGCAGATTGTAATTGTACAGCGGGGTAAGGGAAATTAATTTTTATAATGAGTTTAAATCTTCTTCTTTTATTTGTCTTGTACTTTGTCGTTTTATGATAGTGTATGTCAAGTGACTTGTACAAGGAAACTGAAGAATTGCTTTTGCTGTTTTCTTCTTTCTATTGGTGATGTATAATAATGATACTTGCTGTGCTATTGTGCAGTGTTTATATTGTAATCAAATATCATGAAATATACTCTAAGTCCCAGCTTGGGTAAGAAATTGATTTGCTTTCACCTGTAAAAAATAGGTTACAAGAAAGTGAAGGGAGAAAATATCTGCTCCATTTGACCTAAAAAGACAAAGAGCTTTCTTCTCACCGCTCCCCTATACTCCCTTTGGTTTCAGGTTAGATGAGGCTTGCAACCACATTGCAGCATTACTGTTTGCCCTTGAGGATTATGTAAAGAGCCATCGCAACACCAGGGCCGACAACATTGCCTGCACATCCAAACCTTTTGAGTGGAACAAGCCACGCAAAACGAAACTTAGCCCCAAGCTTATAGATGAGATGAGACCAGTTAAGCACCAGTATGGTAAAGTACCAAGATTAGCAGCTGTGCCTAGTAATGAAACATATGAAGCATGTCCCACAGTACCTAATTTTTTTTTTCTCAAGCCTTTTGGATGGCCTGAGATTAGTAAATCCTCGATGTGCTATATTTACTGCTGTTAAAAAGCAGCAAACTGTTTTCTCAGACCAAGAAATCTCAAATGATAACAATGTTGCAGCTTATGAAGAAGTATCAAGTTGCCCTTTTACTGAGAGTCCATCTACTGCTTCCATAAATAAAGGACCTGTGGTGGACATGTGTGAAATGGAGAAATCAGATCAGGATTGTAATTTATTACATGTAGGCTGCATATCACCTTATGCAGCCCTTCCCCCAAGCATTAAGAACATAGAAGAAAAAGGGAAGGGAATAAAGAGAAAACTGAATTTTACTGAGGATGAAGTTGAAGTTGTCGAAAAAAAATACAAGGCTTCAAAGTAAAAACGGTGATTGGTTTTTGTACAGAAAAGGAAGAATAACTGCTTCAAAATGCAAGCGCGTGGCCTCCCTCAAACCAACCAGTTCCTTTTCAAATACTCTCAAGGAGTTGTTAATGGTTATTAAGGTGCCCCAGACTCATGCAATGCTCCAGGGTTTGGAAAAGGAAGATGCAATTGCAGATTCCTTTATTGATAAAATGAAGGCTGAGGGAAAGTGTGGTTTTTCTTTTACAAACTGTGCTTTTTCTTTATTAGTAAGACACATGGCTTTCTGGGGGCAAGTCCTGATCGTATTGTGCATGATCCAACAGAAGAAACCCCTGGTGTAGGAGAGTTCAAATTCATCCAAATAAAAGATGGAGAGACCCTATCAGGAGTCCTGCTTAAACAGCACATCTGTACAAAAACACAAGAAGGCAACTCTACCCAGCTGCAGCTCAATAGGATGCATAAGTACTTCTATCAGCTGTACCAGCAAATTTTTGTAACAGAATTTTATTGGGGAATGCTTATAGCTAAGGGAGCTAAGGGAACTAATGGCTGCATATTTCATGAGAAAGTTAAGTTTAATGCAAACTTCTGGTTGCCTATATTGGAGAAACTAGAAAAGTTTTTTCATTCATTTCTCATGCAAGAACTTGCATACCCAAAAGTTCAACTTGGGCTTGATCGAATAAGATATTGAAATTCTGGGCTACTAAAAAGTATTGTGTATGCCATTCTTATTTTAGGAACATTTATGAGAAAATAGATATTAAATTAAACAATGATAGGTGTCAGGTGCTACCAATCAAAAAGTTGGCAACAAATTGACTATATTGCAAAAGACAAAACTGACAGTGCTTCATAAATTACTCTACCTTGCCATAGTACCTGAATAGTTTCTACTACGTGTTGTAAGCCTAGACATTAATTTTCAAAACTTATTACAAAAAACATTCTGCGAGAACGTGAACTTAAAAGCACTGCCTTGGAACAATAGGAGAAAATAATTGTTAGGTAACAAGACCTTGAAAATTAGTACGTGGTAACTAAACCAAAGGTATACCATTAAAAGCAAATACCAGATTCCCTCTGGTGTTGACCTCAGGCTCACAGAGGTGATACATGTATGTTGGGAACTACGGGGAATTACGACAATTTTTTCAGCCCAGGTTTAGATAGTACCACATGGAACAAAAAATAGGGGAATAAAAATGTATCTCAAAATACTGGGGACTTTGTGTTTTGAGAAACCCATAGCCCTGGGAATTTCCTCTTCAGTATGATGACAATTACTACTGAGGTACAAGGGGAGGTTCAAGATTTGAAAGAGCTGCACAAATTAGCACAATAATGTTTGCATTATGCCATTCTGTAGCAGGGATGACACCTTGCAAAATCCTAAAATTCTTTATCTGTTCCATTTTACGTTCAACGTGAATTCACACTGCAGCAATTCTCCTTGTTTGCTCAACCGCACACCTTGACAGTTGCCTATTTGAGTCACGCTTTGGGGGCATATTCAGGGTAACACCTAGTGGATCCGGTAAATCTTTAATTGTAAACCCCTTATCTGCCATCACACTGTCACCTTTTCAAGGAGATTCAGAAAACCACTTTCCTTAACAATTTGCTTGTCAGTTGCATTACCTCCCCATAACTTTGACAAGAACGTGACTACTCCTGTAGGGCTGATACCCACTAGCAGCTTGAATGTATTATGGGACTTGTAACTTCAGTATGTTATCGCTTGATTAACTAAAGATGAAGGAATCTCTATGAAAAATTCAGTACAGTCTAGTATTACACGTGTATTGGGAAATTGCTTGAAACATTCTGGCATATTGGCTGCAATGATGTCTTTGCTTGGCCACACAATTAAATGGTTTAGATGTATAGCAAGCACATTGTACCAAGTGATTAGAGTCCGTGAAACTGTACTAACTGAAACACAAAACCTCTGTGCCAAGTCCTGTTCCAGTAGTCCAAGCCTTAGCCGCGTGAAGACCATCAAAAACTCACCCACAAGTGTCATTTTCCTTTGAGGGCCTGGCTTCTGCTTAACATCATCATCCAGATATTTCTTTTCCTTAAGTGCATCCTTTCCATTCCAGTAATTTAGCTTTCCAGTTATCTGTGATAAGCTGGTAAAAATTGCCATGAAAGTTCCAAACTTGACCAATCCGGTGTAAAATCTGGTTTTCTGGTCATCACCTTCAAGGTCCTCTGCTGTGAGCGAAGGAAGGTTCACTTGTACGCCATAATCTTTCATTTCAACTGCAGTTTGAACACCATTATCAATCGAATTGGAACAAAACTGGACACCTCTATCTCTTGATCCATCCCTGGAAATATCTCCCGAGTCATAATTGAATACCTTGGTAGGAATATAGTCGTGGAAACAGTGATTGAAGTTGTTTCCGTTGCATAGAACTTGTGTGGAAATCGATGAAAATTTATTTTCCTCTTGACAGGTTTGCACTTTTGAAGATGTTACTGATCCCCTCGATCTGTTAGGCAAGGGTTTATTCCTTCGAAGTGGAGATTTCGGGGCGGACTTCGAGGGGAACAAAGTTGGAAATTGACACCATGGCTTTGGGCCTTCTTTGCCTTTAAAATGCAAGCTGCAGACACTTGTTCCAGACTTCGCAAAAAAATTTTGCCGCACATTTCTGATCCCAGCAATCCAAATTCTTCTAGCTTTACTATCCGTTGGAATTTTGTGAAGTTTTACCGTCTTTTCGTTGATGACTTTGCCATTATAACTATGGCAAAGTGGCACACAACAATAAATTACTCCTCGAGGAACTGTTTCCCTTGCCGGCATATTGGAAATGTACTTACCATAGCCTCGCTTTCGAGCTACGCGCTCCCAGTCACCTTTGCGTTTCAAATATCTTGGGTATATATTATTGTATATCGAAGCATGCAAGCTTCGATATACAATACCCTTAAGTTATTCAACAGACTAATGAAATTGAGGAACGGTGAATCAGTGGAATGACAGAATATCTCGAGACACGGAATGCCTTTTTGAATAAAACAAAGGTCTAAAAAAATAAAATAGCAATAAAATTAGAAAATTATTTGCAATTAACCATTTTCACCGTAACGTTAGGCTGCATATTCTCCATACTGTTCTCTACACATTTCCTAAGGTTCTGTCTGACAAGGAGAATTTGTTAAACAATCAGGAGCTTCTTTAGTTGGTGATCATTTCCTTTGTTCCCGTGAACTTTATCTGCGATTCAGCTGTGATAGTGTAAGGAGAAATTAGATACTTGGCACTCGTAGGGGTTAAAGGGATATCAGAAACAATTAAAAGAAGCGTAGCAAATCATAGGAGCCCAGAGGATTGATGGAGCTTTCGGGTCAATCCCTTTAAATTGATGTTATACAGTCGAAGCTCTCTTAACGGACACTCTCGCAAGCGGACAGCTCTACTTACGGCCGCCTTGTTTGAAACCCCATTTTAACTCCTATACAAACTGTATTTTTACATTCTCGTAAGCGGACATCCCCGTAAGCGGCCGCGGACACTTTCAGGGATTACGACCTAGACTTTTTCTTGTTTTCAAGCTCTCGTAAGCGGACACCCGAAAGAAAGTCAACAACCTTTGTACAGTATTTTGTTTTTATCAATCAACTATTTTGCATTGCCGTTCGTCACAATGATTTTACAGTAATTGCACTACCGTATTTCAATGTTAATTAATACCGCGGTATATTTTTGTATACCAATATTTATTGTTAGCTGGGCAAGCCCCCGTAAGGCCATCTATCCCCTACAACTCCAGTGGCCGCTTACGAGAACCATTCTCGTAAGCGGCCAGCTTCAGTTACGGACAATTTTATCCCGTCCCGAGGGTGTCCACTTACAAGACCTTCGACTGTATTACCACTGTTATCATAAATATTATTATTATCATTAATATTAATCTTATTATCATTAATGTTATTATATGTAACCGTTAAATTATAGGTTCAAAGTTAATGAGTCGATATATTCTTGAATCATCTTTTGTGGGACAGGGTAGTCATGATTAGGTGGGATGCGGTAGGTTTTCTGTTTTGCTTGTGAGACATGTTCTGCAACACTACCTTCTAGCGTCATTATACAACCTTTAATTCTTTTCAGTGCTATAAAAATTGTGCTATACCTCTAGCCACATGCGGTCTTTGACTGTCATTGTCTATTTTTAGGCCCGGCAGTATAGTCGTAGAATTTCTGTTGAAATTCAGCACAGATGTTACGGTTAACCAAGTGATATCTAATCTGACAAAAGCCGTAGATCAAGGCAAGTTTGGAAGTTTGCCAGTTGATACAAGTTCCTTAAGATCACTTTCTCCATCATCTTCAACAACAGCAACTGAGCCAACAAGTACGATGGTCACAGCCACAAAAGGTACTTTGTATTAAGTTACTCAGTAAAGAGCAAAATACTAGTCTGAGAAGTATAATCTGGAAGACCATAGCTTAAATAACGCCAGTAACCTGTTAACAGCCGTCAAATCAACTTCTACCAGGCTAAGTGTCAGCTACATACATATTTGTTCCGCCGATACAAGCCTGTAATTGGTTTAAAGTGTGTTCTCTTTAGGACGCTTGTCTGTAAACCACACCATCCCTTCGAAATTGTTGTACATAAATCTCAGGCAAAAGAATACTTCAAAAGAAATTCAAGGAATATATGATGACTAATTTAAGGAATATGCAATCAGCTATTGGCCTTTTTTGGAACGTTGTGGAGCGCAATTGTGCGAGACTGTTATTTTTTGTCTTCTATGTTCAGCATGGTACAGCTCTATTCATTCAGTATTCATTTGAGATTCATATAGTCCAAGAGTTTGTAACAAGGGTTAAGGTCTATAAAATTGTTTTTCAGTGGTGTTGTTTATACTGCCATTATGTTGTTAAAATGCACGACTGTCTGTCTTAATGAGTATTTGCAATTTAGTTCCAGAATGCGAGGAAGCCATTTTCAAAAAGAAAAACTGTGAAAGTAAGGTCCTAAGTAGCTATAAGGTTCTTCCTGATAATCAGAAGCGGTAGTATAAGATATGCGTGATTATGGATACATTTTGGTCTTATTAATAACTTATTTTCTTGATTTTTCGTTTTCCTGCATTTGAGAATGGGTTCGAACGAGTTAAACTAAAACAAAACAATCCACAGTCACAGGTCCAGACACCCGGAGCACTTTCTTTTTTAGCAAATGAGCGTATGTTGGATTTTTTAGTTATCAGTTTAATGAAATGACTCTTGCTTTTGATGTGCTCACAAAAATTTGTAAAGAAGCAAACAACAGTATAGCTACGATTTATTGCCGGTATTAGTTGCTTAAATATTTGTCGTCAAATTTCCTGATGAAAGGTAGACTTTCTGCAATCATTAATCCAACACCTTGTCAGAAGAAAGCGAAATTTGGCATTGAGTACTTCTTATTAAATGATTGATTTTTCATTTTCATATCTCTTTTAAATTGTGGTGTCGTATTTCTATTGAGGTTGTCTCTTCCAATTTTTATCTTGTTGCACAGAATAAACACTTGTTTGGTAAACTAAACTATTGTTTATTTTCCTGTATTTTCTTTGGTTATTCAGCAAAATGGGTCAATGTTTCCGTTATAATTGTTGTGTCAGTGGTCGTTGTTGTGGTGGTTGTCGTCATCACATGTTGCTTACACAAGAAAAGGAAATGTAGAAAACACACGAAAGGTGAGTGATATTGTTATTAGTGAGTGGGTAACTACTAATATTCTCCTTTTATTGTGGGCATTCAACTGTGACTACCTAATGGTGCAAGTTTGAGATGGGGTGTTTGACCTAGATGACAAGTTAAGCTGTATCCACCCAATTCGCTTTACAGTAGGTTAAGAGTCATGTCAACGTCAGATAGGGTTAAGGCTCATGAACTAATTTGCACCGTTGTGGATTTCTTGCTGTTTGATAGTGTTTGTTGTGTTTTTGTTTTTTGTATTTTTCCTGGAGACTGAATTTTGTTGACTCAAACTTGCATTTTAGAGGTTGTTAAACATAAGTTTTGCGGTCATTTCTCCAGAGTGGATTTTAAAATGTTAAAAATAGATGAATAGGGGGCCTAACCTGTCTCACATTTCGACAAAATGGCATATTTTCAGTTGTTTCAACTTTCCATACTAACACCAGTTTTTTTCCTTTCTTTTTTATGACAAGTCAAAAGCTCTGACGTGCAACTGCTGTAAGTGCCTTGTATCTTTTCTGTTCCTAAAATGATGTCTTGTCCTTGTCGTCAATAACAGTGTACTCATAATATTCATAGATGTATTTACTTCATACCTTTAAGTCAGTACTCTCAGGTTTCAGTTTTACTTAAGTTCTTTACAATTACCTTTGGGTTAAAATGGTCGATCTCAAGGGATACTCTCTAGCCTTCGACGAGTTTTTGAGAAAAGGTGGTTTGTAACATATCTTTTGAAAACAAGTGTAAATCTCTCATTTTCGTTTAAATTTGAAATTTTCCTCAAAGTGCCGTTCGAACGCGGCAGCTTAGCCTGTCAACGGTCGTGATGTAGGAGAACTCATTCGACTTCCGTTGACATTTCAAAAACAAGCACATCGAGATCTCATCACAAGCAAAAAAGCGCCCAAGACCACGATAATGCCGCAACGATGTGTGGCCGATGTAATTTCCAATACACGTAGCCATGGACTAGGCGTTCTTTAATGCCCTGAACATCTTCATTTCGCCAGGTTATGAACGAACGCCGTGAGAAACACTCGATCCGGATTCGTTAACCTAAGAACTCTAGCCGTCTTTGTAGCGTTCACTTCACTGCCGATTCTTTTGAGAACAGTCGGTTGAAGTGAAATCTTTGGGTTTAAAGATGAAAACCCTTCTAAAATAGAGTGCTGTTCCCCACAATGTTTGATATTAATCCGCCTGTAAAAGAGAAACAAAAGCCTAGAGGTATACAAAAACCTCTCATCTTCACAACTCGGTGAGATTAGCGCTGGATCATCGAAACAAAATGGACAGCAACTGCGAGGATCGTCTAGAAAATTGGAAGCTGCAAGGGTATGTATTAACCCGGTTTTTATCAAATGACAAAAAGATACGAAAAGCTTTTTCAAACCTATAACTCAACGCATTTACCCGGTGCGTGTTCCAGATTCTCGCTGCACATACAGAAAACTGAAAGAACCGTTCCGATTAAAAAAAAAGCTCGAGTACCGAGGGTTCCGTAACAGAATTCTTGCCCCAAGCTTAAGATGTCAGCATCCAAACTTAAAGAAAAGGGAAAGATGTTTCTGAGCAGTTTAAGAGTGGCCGTACCGCTTAAAGCAAGTTTAGTCTCTTAAAAATACAGAAGAATACAAGTAAGTCACACAGTAATGGACAATGTTACTCGCTTGTATCTTATGGCAGCTGGGGCAGTAGACATCTCTACGAACAGCAAAAAATTAGACAGACAGCACCCTCTCCTTTTGACCCCTGTTTTCACATTACTTTAGATAAGGAATGTCTTTGTTGATATGACTGAGGAACTAGCAAAAAGATTGAAGCACTTGCAAAAAGGAATGAAAAATAGGTGTGTATCCATTAACTAATTTAAAATCAAAAGGATGGAAGAAATAAGCAGGTGAACATTGCTTTTCCAAAACATAAGAAGAATATATATACTGTCAAGAAGATTTTGATAGAATGTTCTTACATTGAGTGGCCAAACAAAAAGGAATTATTGTGTCAACTTAGCCGAAACTAAACTATTAGGGATTGTATCATGCTGGCATCCATTTCGAATTAACTTGTGACATTTTTTCATTTTAACCGTAACTTTGGGGAAGAAAAAAGATGTAAAACTAATGCTTGGTTTAACTTTTTGTTTTTAGAATTATATCACCTAGGCTATAAAGCTGATTTGAAAGATCTGATTTGTAATTCGGATACTACAAGGACCTGAAAGCTGTGTGTCAGAGAGAGCTGCTACTCCACCATCACTTTCATTTGAGTATGACAACCCTGACAAACAGGCTGCTAGGTTACGTAGGTTACATATATTACATAGGTTAATTGACCACTCCCCTTAACGGCTTTTCAGGGCTAACACCCACCTATCCTACCCCAGGGGAGGACATCCACCACACACTAGTCTCGTGCGTGGGAAATTAACGTCTCCCGGTTAGCTCAATTGGTTAGAGCGCTGGACTGTTGTGCGGGAGGTCGATGTCGATGGTTCGAGCCCCGGCCGGATCAACACTCAAGGTCTTAAAATGACTGAGGAGAATGCGCTATCTTTCTATAATATCAAGAAATGGATAGACATTCTAGTCTTCTCGGATAAGGACGAATAAACCGTAAGTCTCGTCTCCTGCATCTATTAATTAGTTAGTTTCGTTAGGTAGGGGACGTTAAAGAACCCACTCACGAGATTACTGTGATGTGGTCTGGCCCGTCTATTGGTAATTGGGGGAAGGGAGCATCTTGAAATAAGTTTCCTTCGATTGTTTGTAAACTGCTGATGCAGTCCGGCCAAAGGCTCCCGAAAAGTGTTGTGATGCGCATTTGATCATATCCACATGTTGGGTGAGTACCAGGGTGGTATCTCGTCTATAAATCCCTCATCATACAACAGTTCGTAAAACAGTACCTTCAGTGCTGCGTCATGTCTAGAGAGATACTTGCTCAGGGCCAGCGCACTGGATCCTGACAAGATATGTGCCACACTCTCTGGAGCCTTGCCGCATAATCTGCACCTCACCCATCCTCGGAGACCCAGGGGCAGTGAGTCGATTTCAAGTTAAGGGCAGAAGAGCCCCTGGGGACATTGTCTTACAAGACTAGTTCCAAACGGTCGCAGTCGTTCTGGCATCTGATTGGTGCCAGAAAATCTTTGTGTTTTTCTGCCCAATCAGAGTGAAGTGTCGTTTGGAGTCCTTTCGTGTGTTTTAACACGCACATATACAACAAGCTCTGTTGCTCGCTATGTTTGTTTGGGCCGTGCGACGAAGCTTTGCCCGAGGTGAAAAGTTTCAGTCTCAGCACACAATGTANCAGGGTGTTTCCTCACAACCCAAATGTTAATTGATCGGGTCAATTTTGATCTTCTGTTAAGTGAAATTGACTCAGCATAAATAAAGTTTCAACGTTTTAGTATAGACTCGGTACATTACATCTCCGACAAAAATCTTCTTCGATGAAAGTAATTGAAAAAGGGTAATAAATGAACAATCTCTCGTCTGCAAAACGGAGCCCTTCGAATGTGAAGTCTTCTTCAATACCAGGGATAGGAACGTGAGTCCCAATTCAACAGACAGCACGTGAAGATAAGGTCACGCTTCTTTCTCTAAAATACTATAACACCACCTTGCCAACTGCCTGCCTTTCTTTTGTGTCCAGGGCCGTCGTAAGGGTCCCTGTAATGATACCACGCCGTCTATGGAACCCAGCGAGTCTATCAAACAGCGCTAGTGTTAAAAGGTGGCTCGGCCAGTCCCTCTGCCTCGATCGCCTAATTACTTTCCCTGTAAAACAGTCGATTCGCAATAGCAAACACATTTGAGAACTCGACTCAGTCTCGGTTCAGTCTCTGCAGTCTCAACTTCAATAGCACAGTTGAAGAAGCTTAAGGATAAGGAATTACGAGAGGCAACAGCAAATGTGAGAGGTTAGCTTTATTGTGTCCGAAATAAATGCCGTTCTAATCAAGACGAGGTTCAACAATTTATGGCCAAAACTGCTGCATTTCACAAATCTAAAGATCACTTCACCTAGTGAAAAATACAAACGAAGAGATTTCGCCAAAAGGCGAAAATTGTAACTCCTTAAAATCGCTTACCAGCAGTGTTTTAGAATCGCTCGAGTTAATCGGCCTCCTCTGACTCATTCGATGAGTCCGTACCAGAACTAGTCACTGTGGCGAGGCTCAAACAAATATGGTTGTGTTCCTTGAGCGTCCTTAAGAGCAGTGTCGTCGTCTGGATTCTCGTTTACCGCATATGAAACCGAAGAAGTACGAATCGAATCGAATCACTTGATTCAGACTCAAAAGTCTTCGGTTCTCTCCTCTACGTCATTGATCAGTCCTTGAATTGAGTAATTTGCGCTTTTAGACATAGGGTTTTCACCGAAAGAAGTTTTTAGGAAACTTTGCCTTCAAATGGTTGTTTTGGCATAAATTCTACAATTTAAGAAAATGGTAAAATTTTGTGGAGAGTATCCCTTTAAGTTGTCCATCATCAATGAAGTAAGTGTTTAAACCCACACATGGGCATTATACTTAAGCTGTTACACCGACATATCTTCACCATTGTTTTAGTTCCAGTAATCACAGTACCCTATCAGACAGTAATCCATTTGCAAAAGATAACTGTGGTTATCACAAGTCAGGACCTCAAGCCACAATGGAAATTGAAAATAAACAATCGGTGGAAGCAATGGGTGGTGAACCAATACCTGCAATTGCTATGGTAGACAAATCCAAGAAGAAAGACAAAAAGAAAAATAAGGAAGCTGCTGAGCAAAAGCTGAGTGAAGATAAGGACGCTGTCGTGGATAAGTCAGAGAAGAAAAAGAAGAAGAACGAACAAGACAACACTTACGCTGAAGTCGACATGTCAAGGATATCAAAAAAGGTTTGCCGGCCAGTGATTGTAATTTAAATTTTATTTTTAGATAGTTTGTTTTTATTGTGGCTTTCTGTAAGAGTGGGTGTAAGCAGTCGAAATCTTTAGAGCTAGAGAGTGCAAGTAGTCCAAATCTTCGGAAACTGTTCGGGGTTTAATCGACACGGACGATTGGTAATTATGCATCGTTTTGTTTATGTGGCTCAGTGGTAGAGATTCAAGGAATTCGACGATCCGGGTTTGAATCCTCATAGGAACATACTATATCATGATTTTGTCTGTGCTAACCAGTCTTTGAAAGTAGCCACTATGTTTTGCTGTCTGTAAGAGTAGTTGTGGGTAGTGGACTGACGACGACTGATATGATTACATTGCGTCATCCATGTGGTGTTGTGGTAGAGTTCCTGTCTAGGAATTAGACCGTGGAATCCAACGGTCCAGGTTCCAATCTTAAATTTTTGGCTAAAATTTATTTTATAGTTATTGAACAAATTCTGTATTCCGTATTGAAACGCAATAGGAGCTTTAAATAAAAGAGAGAAAATTTGACATGCTTTGAGCCGCGCGATGAAAAACAAATCGCGTACAGAAATATCTTAATCGGTGTGACCAGGGCATGGCGAAAATCTACTTCAAAAAACGATAAACATCTCAGAATAATTCTGCCACAAAAGACGATAAACATCTTAAAATAATTTCACTATGGCGTGAAGCCGAGAAAACAAACTTTTCCCCTTTCAGAAATATCTGCAAAGGTGTGATCTGCTCCTCATGGAAACCTTAAGGAAAAAAATTATCGTTGAAGACAGAGTATTTTACTGTTTAAATCAGCGAATTATGCCCCAGGGAGCCGCTAAATCTACCAATTGAGCAAGGAGTGAGGTGCGAAGTATGATATCTTGAGGTTAGCAGGTTGACCGTATTCAACGGAATGGATAAGCGGTGGAATGGTGGAATATCCTATAACGCAAAATGACAGATCATGCCGGCTAAAGCGCAACATTCCTTGCTGTAAGAGACAAAAGTCTCAGTGGAATTGCAACGAAATAAGGAAAATTATTTGAAATTTTAGGCAAAATTAAAAGAAGCATAGTTTATTGCTATCATAATTTATTGTTATTCCATTTAGTTATTGTTTGAACGTCAATTTAACACTATATTCTTCAATCATCTTACTCGTGTAGAACATAGTGCTCATGGATGTGCGGGATGCGGCAGATTTTCTATTTTGCAAGTGAATTTAAAAAAAAAATCGCAAAAGTACCTTCTAGCGGCATTATACAACCTATTTCTGTTTAATGTTCTATTTACTGTTCTATTTCTGTTCAATGCCATCAAAATTGTGCTATATCAGTAGCCACATACAATTCCATATTTTCTATTTTCTGTTTTGTTTTGCTAGATTGCAGGCAGCCCCACATACTAATTTCCACCCCTCTCTGAGCGTTTTCCAGTTAAATTTTTCCATGATTTAAACCTGTAGAAGACAAAGACATGACTTGAAGCTATAGAAGTTTTGTCTCTAACTTCTGTAGTTTTCTTTAGTGGTACTTTATTTGCGGACAATTCAATAGTCTCAGTTTCTTTGGTACAAGCAATCTGTAGGTGTTACATAATGGCCCATGTCTTGCCGAACTCAAAGACCTGTTGTCATATTTTTTTACCATCAGAAACAGAAGCCCGGTGAAGTTCTTTATGCTGATTTGGATGAATTCCAACAGATGCAGAAAATGCCTAAAGGATCCACCTCCCCCGAACCCCTGCCTCCGATCAAACGGCCGGAGGCTTATGATGAAACGCAGTATGCTGACATCACCCAGTTTCTGAAGGGAAACCCTGACACAGGCGCTGAGCTTCCTAAAGACGATACCACCCCAGCTGTCAGTAATACTGTTACCGGCCGCAAGGAGGAATCCTCAGTCAGAAACACAGGTGACCGTTCAGAGGCAACTAACGAGACAGGATTTTAGTTTTAACTGAGTTTTTAAAGTTAGAAGAGCTGCAGTTGTTTCTAAGGGTGATGGTAATCGTAGCCTTGTGGTGAATTCTCATGTTTCTCAGTTATTTTCTCTCAGGCACAAAAATGTGATATTTGGATCTCTTTTTTGTTTTTGTTTTTTCCTTTTACTTTTGTAGTCTTCCCGTGTAGTTTTTGGTTTTGGTTAGTCATTTACTTAACAATATATATTTTTCTAATTTAAGATGTTAACGTCAATTTTTTTTGCATATAATCTTTTTCGTAACATAGTTTACACAAAAGGGAGATGACGAGATATACTGAAGAGGTAGCTTTGTTCAAAAATAACCTTCTCGGGTAGCAAAACTTGCAGCTCGATTGCAGATGCTTTTCCTTTAATTCTCGTAAGTATAAAATCCTCAAGCAATTTACTTCATAGTTATTGTAATGTTACTTTTGGTTTGGAAAAGTACTATAGCGTACATACGTAGTCGAAAATTGAAAGGTAAAGATGAGGTTTTTGACATGGCGCACGCCCGTATGTTCAGAATTTTTTTAAGAAGTAGACAGTCTTTGGTAACGTCAATCATCATAACGATTGAAAATTAGATTAGCCCAGCCTGCTGTATTTGATTGGAGGCAAAACCTCTTAGAATTTAGATATCAGTAATTTAGTTATTTTTAACAGTCTGGAAACCAAACCATCTTAACTCGGCTACCCAGCCCACGAGCACTGAGGACATAGGTGTTTCCTTCGTGATGTCACGTTCTTTTGTGCCCTACTTGTTACCAGATTTATAGTGGTAATAAAAGTTTCAGCCATAACCATTTAAACAACAACAAAAAACACCAAGAACAATGTTGGCGCAGGTAGCAAAAAGATAAGGCACTATACTAAACAAGAGGGAACTTGTTTGCCATGCCTCGGCACACCTTCAAGATACCGTGGGGTGTTTGATTTTAAGTAACTTTGGTCCTGTAACCAAGCTGTGCACCATAGTAATGTGCAGATAACGTCACAATATCATATTTGGTGCAAGGTGAAAATGATCTTATGGCCCGATTTGTTGATTTTCGATTAAATTTGCATTTTTTGCATTATTTCATTTCATATTCCTTTAGCTTTCAGTTTCTTTGTTAGTTTTTTCTTTTGTTTCTTTTGGTAATATGAAATATAGATGGAAAGTCAATATTTTTTCTAGTATCCTCTTTGCGAAAATTCGTTCAAGAAGAGGTTTAATTTGGTTATTTCTAACACTTCGTTTCGCAACATTAACAAATTTTGAGGGAACTTATCAACCTTGAGTTCTTTTTTGTTTTGTTTGTTTTACTCTCCGCCATCGCCCTGATCTTCCATGTGGTTGTTGTAGGACAGTTCACATATTTTGGCATCTACTTCCCTGGGCTGAAATGTGTGGCACCAAATTTTTTTGATCACAGCAAAGCTGTAAATGCGTGTGTGTTTTGTCTATTACCGAAAAAAAGTAGCAGACGTGAAACGTTAATAATAGCTATAGTTGTGTGTTTTCGTTTTTTCTTTTTTTTTTTTTTTTGTATGAAAAAAGATAAGTTGGTTTCCTGGTTAAAATAGTTGGTTAAGTAGTTCTAGTATGGCATGGTCTTCATTGTCTCTTCGGGATCAAAAGAGTGGCCAATGCCTTTTTGTATGGTTTTTGTTTTCACTTTGATAATTAGTCAGAAAGGTTAAAAAGTTATTGAGGTTTTTTTATGCACTGCAATGCAGTGAGTGATTATTTCACCTTATGTCAAATTTAACATGTAATTTAGTAATTGCTATTGACGATAAGTGGATATGTGTGGCAGACACTGAGGAAAGACCTCTTGATTAAGGACTAAAAAGTCACTTGTTACTTTGTCAGTGTGCAAATACGGGTGTCTAGTAATCACCAGCTAAACAAACGCATGGATGGCGCAGTCAACCAATCAAAACAGAGGTTTAGTCTACTTTGGACATATACCTCAAGCCTCCATGAAAATTCACGAATGCTTCGTTTTGGTTTCATTACGAAAACTACTTGGTTGTTTTGCTGGGTAAAGCTGGCTGCCACACTGTCCAGTTTCGTTTTATTTATTTTAACTAGCATAAAGCTTTTTCGTAGTCTGAACGACTGAATGATACAATGCTTACTGATTCTTAATGAAAACCATACAGCACGTGTTAAATGTGTGGTCTAGTTAACGAGTGTTGATTCTTATATTATGATTCTTGCCTTTTGGAGAAGCCGAGAGAGCTTAAATGTGTGGTATGTGCCTACAGGACAGACACCGTTCAAAACACTGTTTTGGCAATGGATAGTTACTTTTCTTAAACTATCAGGGTTTTCCAATGGCGAAAACCTGTAGACGTAATCCATCGGAAGTACTAATACGAACGCACCTGTAGATTGTTTTGGAATACTTATATTTACAAGTAAACAGTGGTCAGTTTGAAGCAGATGGGTTGTTTTCAATCTCTCTATGCCGCTTGTACCGCACATTTATTTTTTCGTTGGTGACTCTTTGACACTTTTTACTATATCATGATATGTAACCAACTGTATGCTCATTAAACGCTGATAAATCTCACATGCGTCGTTGTTAAACTCTTAAACCTCAAATTTTTCAACATAAAAGTTAAAATTTCTAAGCACTTTCACGATATGCATTGAAAGGAATGGGGCGGTGCCCTTGCCCTGTCTTAACTATGGTAAAATGCTCATTGACTGAGTTAGTTTGGGCTCGGTCATGACGCACGGAGCTGGCGACGCTGAAAGCATTTCTTTCAAACTTCTTTCCTCAAGAATCAAAGCTTTCTCAGTGGATTCAGGATCAGTAGCCGTTTAGAAAATAGTACTACTTATCCAAGCTGTTTTTTCATACAAGAGCGGTACAATGCTTGACATTAAAACTTCGGCAAGCATTGAGTTAAAACGACACTTCAAAAGATGGTATATCACAGCAGCAAAACCGTATAAGGAAATCTGAACAAGTCTGTCATGAAAAAGATATTTCCGTTTCTTTTTTCTTCAACCTAAGGGTTTTTCGAAGGAGGAGAGGGGGAGTGGCGTCTTCTGTTATTTACAATTTAATGTTGTCGGTATTGGAAATCTTTTACCGCTCTTCCTTTATTAATGAACAAAAGCCTTAGTCGTCTACTCGTAAAGCCTATGGGTATACTCTGCAAAGTGTGATCCACCGTTAATGGAGAATTACACTGGGTGGAAAACATTCGAAGTATGAAAAAGTGAACTAAAAACATTATATAGACGGGATTGCATCACCGGGAACTAATACACTCGTTTTACTAGGTCCGGGAACCGAGTGGCGTATTTTCCATGTGAACACGAAGTCACATTTGCCGCCTTTTCAAATTGTGCTGAATATACTTGGTTTGTCTGTTGTTTGGAATAATATCTATCGCAAGATTTACTGTAGAAAGGACGGGTAGGCAATGAAGGTGTAAATGGATTTTCCAGGCAACAGGAGAGCAAGAAGACCTAAAAGAAAACGTTGATTGATATAAAGATCTTCAAAAAGAAATTCATCTTACTCGTTTGCTGCCCTTGATGGTGAGATATTTTTCTTACCACGCGAAAATTTTATCTTCTCCACACTGTAATGAAAATAGATCGCGCAAAGATCCTCATATCAGAGCCGTACACGGTAGCGTACCATCAAGGCCGTAAAGAGCCGTACGGCGCGGCGAGATGCTATCTGAAAGAAATAAGGAAGAAAAGGGAAGAAAAAGGAAGAATAACGGTCAAATGATAAAATGCTCATTGACTGTGTTAGGGCGGGCGTGGTCATGATGCACGAACCTCGCGACGCTGAAAGCATTTCCATCAAGCCTCTTACCTAATGAATCAAGGCCTTCATAACGGATTCAGGATCAGTAGCCGATTAGAAAATAGTACATCTCCAAGCTGTTATTTCATACCAGGGCGGTACAATGCTTGACATGTTTGTTCAGTTGACAGGTTGATTATATCTGGAAAACTTATCATGGTGGCTTTCGCAGTTCTTATACC